TACAAAAAGTGTTCACTGTCTAAGGTCGCTCTAGTTACCTACTATCTTAAAAGAAGTAGATATAGGATAACAATATCCAACTCAGATTTCTCTCTGGTTTCACTATATTTGACAAGTCTAGTTTGAAGATTAACTTTGAAAAGAATAAGTAGAATGCTTTCCACTTTAGACTTAGTAATAAAGACCTCTACTTGCTAACATATAATACAGAAGCATCACAATTGCTTCAGCAATACAAACTCTTATATAAACTAGCATCTTTTAAATCAGTTATAGAAGAGAACAAACAAAGTTGTTTTTCTGTTTCCAATTTTGTATAAAACAGTTTATTGCTTCTGTATTTGAGCAAAAGTGGTAACTATTAAACTGTCTTAGCTTGTTGTTCAAATATAAGACCATCTGATCTATAGTATGTAGCTTGAATAGTTTCTCTATCAATTAGAAGACCTTTCATCTTATCTTTCAATCTGAGACATTGAACATTCTTGTCCAAAGATCTGCAGAGTTTTCTATTAATTATATTCATTTCAAATTATAGATCTAAATATTTTTTTTAAACATATTTCTTATAATTTATAAAATGCATCCTTTTGTTATATATGTTAGCCTTCTGACTTCATTGTGGCTAATATTGCATAGTTGTCTATAAACAGTATTATCTATGATTCTTGTAATAAGTTTGCAAAACTTTGAAACCCAAACAAAGCAGCTTGTATTTCTTACTATGTAATTTCTCAATAGTTTCTTATGTTTTTTTCAGTTTCCAAAAGCAGTTCAATCTTTCAGTTTGGTATACCAACCTATTGTTGATGCATTTACAAATAGGCTTTTAACCAAGAATGATCTCCAAGCAGACTGCTCATTGTAACTTTTCAGGTTTCTCAATAATTAAAATATATTTTCTCTTGCTTATTCTAAAAGTATAATTGTTCTGTTCTATTCTTAAAAACTCTGATTTGCTATATCTAAAAGCAAATAAATTCTATACACCTTATTTGAGTTGGTGCAAAAGTACATGATAGGCTTTGAATTTTTTCAGTAACTTTTGACAAATATCTGGCTGTTATCCTTCTTATAGATACTAATTCCTTTAAATCTGACTTTACTTTTTTTATTTTTTTTTCTGAAATAACAACTTGTACATTCACCATGTTTATAATTAGTCTATAGAATTTGATCTTTATTGATGGTATCACTTGACTTTTGTTTCAAGTTAAAACAAATCTATATCTTATTAGATTTGGCAATATAGCCTTATTTCTTATATTTTTCAAAACCTTTGCTAAAGGATTAGCAACCTATATGTCATCTATATATGATTCTAATGCAATACTTATTGACCTCCAACAAGCTATAATAAGCTTTATAATCTTAAAGAAAATCTATACAGATTGTAAGAGGCCAAAGATAACACCTAGTAATGATACTACATATTTGCTATATAAAAACCCAAAAATCACTGTGCCTTCTGGTTTATTAAAACATGATGATATTTATCATATAAATTTAAAATAAATACTGATTAGTTCTTTTTAATAGATCTCAAAAAACTCTCTAGTTCCTCAAACTGACATAATTTTTCTGATAAGGTTTGATTTAGTCTTCTTAGATCTATTATTAAATGAAATTTTTTTAGGCTTGGTTTTGGAACTAGAAATACTAATAAGACTTCTAGCAGGAAAGATAGGTGATTAGGTCCTGTTCCTATTTTTCAAATTGCTTCTAGTTTTTCTAAACAAGAGATTTCCTCCTAAAGCCAAATTTTTTATTTCTCTACTAGTTAGTAAAAACTTAAGTCTAGCTGTTGTATTAACTTTAAAACATCTTTTGAGAATAGTAATATATAGTTTATTAACCAATTAGCAACAATTGGTAGTGAATTTACTATTTTTAGCCAATAGTCTATTGCCTCTGTCATGTAAATTTTGTCTGTGACTATTCTCTCTAAGTCCAACTTCTTTTTCTCTGTCTAATTTTTTATCTGTGACATTCTTTTTATCTGAATTTTCTACCAAGTATAGTCAGGATTTGTCTTCTCTGCTTCCTGGACCCTTATGAAAAAATCTTCCCTTACTAATACTACTTTCTGTTTTTAAAGACATAAGCCAATGTAATGTGGCCCATACTACTATAATAATAACATACCAACTGGCTATTTCTTTTGTTGACTGACATGAATTAAGTTTTCAGATTTGCAAAAAAGACTTAGTTCTGATACTCCTGATAGAATTGTTGGCACTAACTCTGCTATAAATCTTGTACTTAAAGATATAGTATAAAACATTGTAAACTAGACTCTTTAGATAAATAACCCTCCTACTGTAACTATTTTTGAAATTCTAAAAAAATTTATGTTTCTTTGACTTTACCTGTTTTTTTTGCCTTATCAACAACTTGTGAAGCTTATTTTTCTTTATTGGTATAGGCTTTGAAATATTTGCTGCAACTCTTCAACCTTTATCTTTAGCAATTCTTAATATAAAGGCCCTTATTTTCATCACATTAAAGGTCTCATGTAATCTCTCTATCAATTTCTTCTGAATGGCTTTAGTGAATATCTTACCAACTTGACAAATGAAATCATATTCATGTTGGTTTCTTATTCTTTTAAACACCTTTTTCAAAAATTTAGTATCTACTAATACCTCTTGAAGTTTTTAAACTATAATACTAAATGTTAAAGATTTCTTTTCAAAACTGTCATCAATGCACTTTCAAATTTTAATTCAATTTTTTTCTCTAGTCTGTTTTCTATAAACCTCAAAATACTATACTTTTGCCTTTTGTAGTTGTTTAGTTGAATACTTTTTCTATTTCTATCCTTATCTATCAGCTTTTGCTTACTCTTTTGTAATTTTTTCACTTATTTTAACTTATTCCAGAAGTTCTCTAGGCTTTTAACTAACTTTGTTTTAGTATTCTCAGAAGGTAGGTTATACCTTTTACACATAGCTTGCAAATCAATTAGTCTGAGCTTATTTCAGTTTACTTCTAATAGTCTTTCTTCTAGCCAACTACACTCTCTTTATCTGTATTATCTAACATAATAGTATTTTTTTCTGTTGTTAGTAAGTTTTTATGTGACATGTTTGCAACACTCAATAGGTCAATTTATTAATGCTTAAGAAAGTGCTTGATAATAATTTACATGTTATTTTAACTATAAAATATGACAACACTTATGCAGGTAACTTTGCTAAACAATACTGTTGAGTAGAAAAACAAAACAAAAAAATACTCTCTAATAACTAAACCTACTTATATACTTATTTAAAGTCCACATTTACATTCTACTGAATAATGATCTCTGCATGCATCTTGTAACTGACTTATGATAAATTATACCTTGTAACTTTGTTTACAAGTGACATATAAAGCAAATAAAGTATAATTCTTTTTATAAAAGCCATTTCAACCTTTATTTATATTATCATTCTAACTATGATTTCTTTAATTATATTAAACTCATTCCTCTATTTAATGCAGCCTCTCTAATTTATTCACCTAAATTCTTATACTTAATAAATTCCTCTTCATTATTAAATCTCCTTTCCTTAATATTGTTGAGTTCTGATAACTATGACTCTATCACTTTACAATTCAAAATGATATACAGTATAATGTATAGTAGGTAACCTTTTTGAAAGTGGGTGTTAGATTTGACTGATAGGTAATTAAGGCTTTCAGTTATTTTGAGTCAATGAATACAAATAAAGTAAGTCATGTGAACAAGAACTTAAACAAATAACAAAATTTATGGATTTTACAAAATGTGTACTGGGTTTAATGTTAGTATTTTATTATAGATGTTATAATATATTGAGACTTGTATTTTAATAAAGCCAATGAAAGTACTACTTCTAAAGACCATTTCAGCTTTTATTTATAATACAAAATTCATCACTCATAAATGTGACTTATTTATTAAAACTAATTAACCTATTTACAAGTATTTATTTAATATTCTTCATTTCCTTCCTTTATCCCCTATATACCCTTTTGAATCCAAAATATCATTCTGATCTTAAATGTAACTTATTGCACTTATTACACTTATTGCATTTATTGCATTCCGTGCATTTTCACGTGATCGGTCACGATATTCCGGTATCACAATATATTTAATTAATTCGATTAATCACCGGAATATCCATATCAAGGAATTGATCGCCATACCCGCTCTTACGTAAGGTCCCGGCAGAGTATTTTCGTCACGTTATTAGGTCTAACAATATCCTTAGTTTGGGTTATAGTTAGTGTCAGTCAATAGCATTGTGCAAAATTTGCAGGATTTTTTTTTTGTAAGTACGCAAAAGCTGATTTCTTAGTCGAAATTTTGAGATTAATATGGTTTTTTTTTTAAAAAAAAATTCATATTACACATGATCTTATTTCCAGGATCATATCACATTATTAAGGATTGTTGATTTCGTCCAATTAAAAATTCGATACAATGACCAATAGAAGCTTGGAGTAAAATTAATTAACGCTGTGTTAACAGGAGGAACCGTCGATGTTACACTAATGATTTTTCACCCGGTGTGCAGCATATAAAAAAATCATTTTACAATA